TGAAATAATAGATATGTGATTTGATTAATTGATACTGCTCCAATATGTTCTGTGAGCGAACGAAATGTATAAAATTGAAAATTAAATTTATAAATCCCGTCATAAGATTTGATAGTTGTTTTCAAGTTGCTAATAAAGAAAGTAGTTGCTATTATATGTGGTTGAATTGCAATTGAAGGAAACTTTGAATTATTCATTTGAATACACTGCTATGCCGAAAAAATCAGACCGTTATAGTGAATCTGATATCAACAAAACAACAATCTAAAAATTATGTTCTGACACATTTCTCCGGGTCCGTGTTATGACAAGGGTTGAGGGTAAATAAAGTCAGAAGTCATTAATAAAGGGCATTTACCTTTACATAGATCTGTCCTTTGGTATATTATCACATGAAACATTTACATATACATGTAATACATATAAAATGCATAATGATAATGAAAATAGCATTTACACATTTACATAGATCTGTCATTTTGGTATATTGGTCAAGTGAAACATATACATTTAACGCATCATAATAAATACATCAAAGAATTAATACTTCCTATCTATTGCCAAAATATTATATTAAAAAAATGAAGTTTATGAGTAACGAATTTTCTCGTTTCACACTCAATAATGATGTGGAGGATTTAACTGAAAAGTTTAGCCGTCTGAAAATCAACAGCAACAATATCAGTAATATTGAAAATAGTGATTCTAACAACAATCTAAACAACGAATATAACGAAAATCACAATAATACCAGCATCTTTAAGGCTAAACCCATTGCTTATTGCGGTCGTAAACTTCAAGGAAATAGCAGCAGAAGTCGGTTAATTAATAATTTGAAACGTAAAATCAACGAAGAATGTATGTGAAAACATTATTTTTTTATTTATTTCCTTAATATTAATATTGTTTTTAACTTTTATCACTCAGGTGTTTCATGCAGGTCAAAACGAGTTAAAATTGATTTTTTTCTTGTATAAAAAACCTGTTCGATATAATGAAAAATATAATAATAACATTTATCGTGTTAAAATAGCATACATAACAATAAATTTAAAATTAAAAATAGAAAAATTTTTTCAATTACATGTATTCATTAATTGTATAAGTATACAAAATTCACATTTAAAACTTTATATTCAATAGAACTAATAAAATTACGTGTATTGAATATGCAAAATAATTGTGAAACTTAAAGAAAAATTTGGCTTATTAATGCTACGTCTCATCTTGCATAATAAAAATTTGGCAATAAATTTATTTTTATTATGTAATAACTACCTTTTTTACTTATCTTCCAATAGTTACTAAATCAAATATGAATCACTGCATGAGCTTTGTCATATTTCTAACTTATCAACTCTTATTAAAATTATACTTTTTAAAGATCCAGTTATAATAAATCATACTTTGTAATTATATTTATATATTATATTTTATATTCTTGTAAAAATTTTTAGATTTGAAAAAATTTACTAATATTATTACTTATAAATTTTTATTATGATAGACTCAATTTACTTTTTTGCAATTTCATTTTTAATAGCTGATATATCAAAGAGAAAAAAACTTTTCTTATTATTTTTCATATGAAAATTATTTCAGCTAATTAAACATATTTTTTTATTTTTTTAGTAAAGTTTAAAAAAAATTTTCATAATATAGAAAGTGATAATAAAATCATATAAAGATAATAATTAAGAAAATTAATTCAAATTTTTAATAACTCAAATATAGAATTATATTTTACTAATTTATAAATCAACTTATATAGAAAATTTTGTAAGAACTAAATATAGATATTATATTTAAGCAAAGGAAAATACTAAAAAAAATAATCAAATAATTAATTATTTTTTTTATTATAAAATCTAATTTAAATAATAAAAAAAGAATCTAAAGATAATTATAATTATTCTTAACAAGTAAATAATTTTCTTAAAGTATAATTAAATGAAAAAAATTTAGATAAAGATTATAAATTAAGATTAACTGCTATATTATAATATAAATTAATGCAAAAAGATTTATATTTCAGATAAATATTAATAGATTATTTTTTTTAAATAAAATTTTAATTCTATCTTATTTAATTAAGTTATTAGATATTGAAATTCATTTAAACTTAAACTTAAAAATTTTTATTATATATTTTTTATAAAAAAATTTTTACTAATAACTTTTTTTAATTATTATTTTTTAAATTTTACTATATAAAATTCAATTAAAAATAATATAAAAAATTTTATAGTAAATAATTTAATTACTCAATTTTAAATTTAATATTTTTACAATTGCTAATTCAATTTTTATGAAATTTAAAATATATATTTATCAAATCTAGAGCAATTTACTTATGTAATTTGAAATTATAATATTTAAAATATCTTTTTTAAAAAAATAATTATATTTTAATTTTTTTTTAGTAAAGTAATACTTTATTTATTATTAAATTAAAGTATAATAAAATAGTTGAAATAATATAAAAAGTTAATTTAAATTATTTTTTATTTAATATAAAAAAATTATAAAGATTAATTAAAATTTGAATAAATTTTATTAAAAATAATTTTTAATTTTTATATTGAGATACAAATCTTTTTGCACTAATTCATATGTATAATTTCTTAAATTTCAAGATTCTAAATTAGAAATCAGTTTTTATATTATATATTAACTTAAAAAAGATTTATAATTTACTTAATATCTTTATTTATAAAATTATATATTATAAAATAAAGAATCTATTTCATTTTTTAAAAAAAATATTATAAAGTAAAAAATTTACTAAAAATAAGATATTTAAATATAAATTATCTTTTATTTGAAAGAAAAAAATTTAGTTCATATTATTAATTTTGTAAATTATATTATAAATATTATTTTTCTATTAATTAATATGAAAATAAAATTTTAATTAGATAATTTAGTATTTTAATATTTATTTTTTAATTTTTTAATTATTAAATAATATCTATTATTTATAATTATTAATTTTTAATAAAATTATTACAAGAAACTGACTTAAGAAAATAAATTATTATTATAAAAAAAGTTTATATATATAATTATAAATATAAAAATATAATAAAATAATAAAAAAATTTTTAAAAAGAAATAAAAATATAAGTACTATATTAATTATATAATATTAATTAAGTTATAATATTTTATTTTTAAATAAAATTCAAATTAATTTTAATTTATAATCAAATAAATAAATTCATATTTTAATTATTTATAATAAAATTATATTTTATTTTAATAATAAAAAAATTCTAAATTAGCTTCTTAATATAAATAATCTTTATAAAAATAAGAATATATTATTTATATAAATAATTTTATTTATAAAATCAAATAATAAATAAAACTTTTTGAAATTAAAGATAGAATTTTATGAATTATAATAAATTTTAAAAAATTCTAATAATTAGTAAATTATTAAAAATTAATTAAATAAATAAAAAATTAATTAATTATTTTCTTTTTTATTATTTTTAATATATATATATATATATTTAAAGATAATTCAAAATATAATTAATATTTTTGTATTTGATAATTCTATATTATATAATATTTTATATTTAATATATTAATTATATTGTTACCGTAGTAGCATAAAAATCCCTAATTCCTTAATCTTTTCATGGTTATGCAAAATCACATTTTCTTAT